AGAAGTCTGACTGAGAGTTACAGAAAACACTTGATTGCAGTGATTGGCTCAAAGGGTTGTTCAACTAAATATTAGTTTACAGGTCCCATCATGCTTATTTGCTTTTTTTATTGTTGTTATTTTTATTTTTTTGATATTTCTGTTGAACCATAATTCAAAACCAATGTCATGATTTTCATAAAAATTTTATCTATTATAACTTTTGTCAATTTGAACTTATTTCAGTGACAACTGTGTTTTTTTTTCTTTTTTAATGGGATGGTATGAATACATTTGAGGACGACTGTACGCTCTATGATTGGGATCCGTGGATTTTGATGGCCAGCTCAACATTGGGGGCTCTTAGTTGTGTTTTATGAGCAGGAAGTGTGGGACGACATGAGAACCAAAGGTTTCCCAGCAGAATATAACACTGAAACAAGATCAATTTAATTCACCAGTCAGTGGTTTTAATGTTGTTGCTCATCAGTGTAGTGTGACTTCAGTAAGACTCCTGGTTGGAGTCCCCTTGTAATATCAATATGCGATACCATTGTCATTTCCCCTCTCCTTCTGTTTGTGTGTGTGTGTGTGTGTGTGTGTGTGTGTGTGCACCTGCAGGAGGGCTGGGCCAGCGTACTGGGGAACTGGCACTCTCCGTGGACGCAGTAGTTTTTGTAGTGATCTGGACAGGGGGTGGTCAGAGGGCGGGCCACGTCCTTCGCTGTGCAAACATACAGAACACACAGAGACACACAAAGCCCATAAATGTTAAACACCGACATGCTTGCGGCCATCTCTGCACATACTGTTCAACAAAGACACTGATTTTAATAAGAGAAGAAGATATGAATAATATAAAACCTACGTATGAGAATGTATAAAAAGATAAAAAAAGAGGCCACAAGCGATTCTGATTCATCTCTGAGTGACAGCACATGTTATTTGCTAATCTGTCAATGTAACAGAAGCATTCACCCGGAAGGTCGGTCCGTGCGAAGGGTTCATCTCTGCGGTTGTTCCCGGTTATGATGTCTCCTGGAAAGGCCAAAAAAAAATCAAAGCCAATCTCAGGTCAGTGTAACCTGTCCTGCAGCTCCAGCTCCATCTATTATGGGTTACTCGGTGAAACTGGTAGAGAGGGTGAATGTGCATTATCACCTCGACAATGGGTTAAGTGTGTTCGCACCTGTGTGCTTAATGCGTACAAATGTGACCCATTCTCTTCAAAAGTCAGAAGCCGTCTCCCCCGACTGTATCATCCCGAACAAAGGGGAGAATGGAGCGGAGTCGGGTGGAAAAGATCAGAGGGACTAATGCATTTTTTGCCCACCTTAGCGACGGTGCATCGAATTCCTCTTTTCACATTGGCTAGACAAGATCTCCTTCAAATCATTATCATTTTATTGCAATTGATTTCCTTTTATTTTTTTTCTTCAGAGGTCAGTGAATACATTCCTGCAAACTGAGACTGTGAACGTATTTTTTTTTCAGATTTCTGATGCAAGAACTGTGGTCGAGAAATGTGCCTGGATCTGCTGCTTTTAATTTCTTATTTTTTTCAAATCTTTCACTGTGTATTTGCTCATTTGCAGAACACCAGAGGCGCAATAAAAGAATAGAAACAAAAGAAGCTTTTCGATGAGGTCAGAAGCTCAAGCCTTGTATGTATGACATCCACTTAAGAAAAAGCAAACCAAAAAAAAAAAAAAAAAATCTAATGAATTTTAAAGCTATCTGGAGGCAAGATGTTGGAAGCTGAACACGCTACAGCTACAATAATACAACACCTGATTATGTGAGCATCTGTATCTGTTGTGCCGGTGCAAGGTCATCGGTACTTTTTGCTGAGCAGCCGGCAGAACTACCTCGAGAAATGTAAAAGTGTTTCATAATCGCATGAAAAGTGAGACATAAACCAATCTAAACGGCCACTCGGAGTCCTGGCTAACATGAAGTTTATTTTCACGTGTATAAATCCCTCAATTTAATGACATTTGTTTCTCTCTCCACTTTCCTTAATTGGAACAAAATGTGTGGAAGCCTGATCAAATTGATCAAGGCGCTCTGACCCACGGGGTGAATGCAGATTTCTATTTGTGTGTTCCAGAGCTAGTTAGCAGTGATTGCTTTATTCTCTCCTCTACCTTTCATAAGACCTGTTCATGCTCTGTGAATGCAGAGTAAAATGCTTTCAAATGTACTCTGACATTAGTAAGGCCATTAACGAATGTGATTTGAACAAGTCACTATAATGCGACCATGGATATGTGTCTGCTCTGTCTGCTCTCCACCTGGTGACACTTTTCAGCCAGAAATCAAAGCAAAATATAAGAAATTAGCCACAACAGACATTGAAATAAAATTAAACGCATATTCAAAAGAATATTCTTCTCCTACATGGATTAGCAATATGACTCAGTGTATGGATTTAAGCGCACAGATTAATAAAACAACTTTATCCCCTGAAAATACTGCACCAAAATAAAAGATACTACACTAAAAAGGGGAGGGGGGATTACCATTCAGTAAAATTATCAATAGACGTGGCAGCGAAGGCGACGTGGGGTTTTGAGGATTATCTTTGCATTTCAAAATGTGATTGAGCGAAACTTCCTGTAATTATTAAACTGCAGCTGGAGGGAGATATGGAATCATGCTGTCTGCGTTTAGCTCCGCGAGAGGCCTCGTTTGCCTCCATGTCCTCACTTCAACGTGAGGCGAACACCTGCTCCGAGAGAGATTGACGGCTTCGGCTGTGCTCGCGTTTGTCGAGTCGGTGTGTGTGTGCGTACACATGCGTGTGCGTTCCGAGTGTCTGACCTCGGCAGCGGCCCAGGTGGTCGACCTCGATGCGCTCCTGCTTCTGACAGGATGCCTCTTTCACCTGGCAGGGGTTGTCATAGGAACGGCCATCTGAGGCGCACACCGGGTTGAAGCTGATGTGTGAACAGTCGATGTTGCAAACACACCTGAAGAACAAACAAAAAGAGCTGATATTAGAGCCTTCCTAGTATTGATAAAAAAAAAATAAAAATAAAACAAAAAATGTAATCTGAAATATTAATGAAAATGAGAGCATCATTATTCCCGAGAGATTTATGTGTGAGTTTTGACTCCAGGAGACAACCCAAATTCACTCAGGGATTAAAAGTGAGACAGCTTGCACTCAGTCAGGATGCTGGACCACGCGTAGTAATCCTGTTCAAACTGGGCTTTGGCTCATTCAATTTGACACAATAGCAAATGGATTTAACTTTGCCGAAAGAGACAGGCGGCAATAAAGGCTTGATTGACAAATGTTGTACTCTTACAATGGCAGAAAACAATTAATAATGAAAGAATTGCAGATAAAAAAGCTTCATATTTTAGTCTCGCAGAGGAGGCGGCACAAAGAAAAACACCATTCAAGTCGTCAGATACAGAATTTATTTTAGATAAGAATGAAAATAGTCTAAATGGAAAATAATGAGCTAATGCTATTATAGTGCACACTGAACTAGTTTGTAAAGAAAAGAATTTATGACTGCTGAACAGCTTGTTTCTGGTATCACACCAAGTCTTTGTAAAGTCTTTCAACAAAACACACATGGCTGGAAAATTCAGAAAATTATGACACTGAACCGAAAAACTTGGAAGCAGCAGCAGTCATATCCGGTGTGTTCCTGTCATACGTTGGCGCCTGCATTACCTGTAAACTTACAATAACTTAATATGTACGCATTTATTGCTTACATCAGATGTATTCCTTCGGTACAAGTTGTTGTGTTTAAAGCTTAGAAATGATTTTCTAAATCACTGTAAAAGCCGACGTCTGCAACACGTTCAAATCCGTCAGGTTCAGTTTTCTCTGCACACCGAATCGGTTACTTTCCTTCCACAACGCTGACATTTCTGCCGTGTTTCTGAAGCAGACTGTGATGCATCTCAGAGAATCAGGAGCTTACTTGATGCTTTTAGCTCTCGCAAAATTAACCGGCCAATTTGCTGTCGCAACACAATTTTCGATGAAATTTCCGTGTGAGATGTTTTTTTGCGCTCGCGTGCCTGTGTGGGCTCCTCTACACGCGTGACATCTGCATAAATGACAGTGAGATTGAAAGACCATGTACACCTGTGTGCATGTGCATATTTGTGTGTGTGTGTGTGTGTGTATAATGGCATATGTGTGGTGTGACCCTTAAGTCTGTGGCAGGCCTGATCAGCAAAAATTACACCCAGATTGCCTTCCCCAGACGGTTGCTGCTGAGTAGCACTGAACGCAAGATTCTGTAATTATAAATCTGTCATTATTCTCCTGGTCTTTTCATTTTCCCCTGGTGCCAAGCTCTCGGTAACGCACAGGCATTCAGCTGTCTTACAGCTGCATTTGCATACACGCCCACGTGGACGCCCACCAACACATAAACGTGTGCCCACACACACACACACACACACACACACACACACACACACACTCTGACACAGACACGCAGACACCTTCACAATCAGCCATGATGATTCGTGCTGCTGACATTGATGTTGATTGAAATGCCGTGCAGCAAAGCGTGGCGGCGCTCAGCTACTGTTGTAATGATGGATCAGCAAAGTAAGAATGATGTGAAGAAAGGCTTCGTTATGCATCAGAGAGGACGCAGTTGTGTAAAGGCTGGCAATATCCGAAATCCAACACGACACTGAAGGTGAGCTGCCACAACTATGAATGGCCTGCCACTGCAGAAGGTTACGCAATGAAACCGTGACACCGTGATTTAAAATGTCATTTCACTAAATTTAAGGAAAAAAAACAAATAAGATGTTTTTTTTTTCTCCCAATTAGGCTTTGTAAAAATGACAAGAATCTACATCGATGCACAACCACAGACCCGACACTAAGTCTTTGCAACATTCACTGACGATTGATTCAGCTGTCAAAGAACCATCTTTTCAGCGCTCGCTCACTCGGTGTGTGTGTGTGTGTGTGTGTCAGCAATGTGCACCATCTACCCCTCTCTTGGTAGTTAGCTACCATTCCATATATACCAAGTTTTTAGCTGAAAACAAAATCTTACCCTAAAAAAAGCCCCTCATAAAATCCTACAAGAGAATGCAATAACACATGGTGGCTTTACAAGCTGTGACTACGGCACTGCACAGGTTGCAAACCATTTAAAAAGCAACGTGTGAACCGAGAGCCGCAAAAACTACGCCAACTCCTCCGTCCTCAGATTGAATATTTAAGAGCGGACGTAGCATCTGGATTGAAAAAGTGACGCCAATGTGGAAGAGCCTTAAACTTGCATTCTTTCTAGCAGCCAGCAGGGGTTGAATCCTTTCCTAAGAGAACCCGACCCGACTTCTTAAGGGCCTTTCACATAGGACTCACTGAGACCCATTCATTTCAGTTGCTTGTGCCGCACAACAATAGCATGCTGCTGCGCCGAGCAAAGTATAAGAGCAGCTCGTAGGTTGGTGAGACCGCATGCTCGCCACGGTCAAAGTTTAAATTTGTTGAGCTTTGACCCCTGCGTGCTATTATGTGTGACCGCACGGCCAATAGACATGAAGCATCTTGCCTGGAACGGAGGGCAAAGTGGAGGAAAAGCTGGTTCTGTGTGTGTCTGAATCCCCCGAATTATATGACACAACTTTGGGGTGGTATTGAGACTCAGGGAGGAAAGCTTTTGTACGAGCAAGGATAGTGCTAATGCTTGCTACTTAGCACCGGACAAATACATCTTTGCTGTTGAAGTGTTTGCAGAAAACTGAAAGCCTCTTGCTTGAGAGGATGTTGACGTGGCCCTGCTGGAAGTTTTGAAAACTCTGCCTGTGTTGCTCTGCGACTGTCCATGAGCTGGGCGCCAAACCTTACGTCCTGCATGAACTACTCTCAGCTTTACTCTACGACAGGGGTGTCAATCTCAAAAACACAGTGGGCCAAAATTTAAAACCTGAACAAAGTCGCGGGCCAACATTGAACAAATGAACCTTTTAATATGGACCGAAACAAATTTTGCTTTATATATATATAGATATAACTAAATAGTGGAGACATGCAAAATCAAACTAGAAATAAAAAAAACACATCAATGGCACAGTGACAGCTGTAGTGTGAAGTCTCTATGCCTACTGTCACAGAGGAGAGGGAGTTTCTGGGTCCTGTCCTGATTGACGCGCCAAAACAACAACAGGGCATTATGGGATTTGTGGTATTAGCGGTGAATGCGCTATACAGTATAATACCGGGGGCAACTCTCGTAGTCATTTGGTATTGTCTCACGGGCCAAATATAATTACAAAGCGGGCCAAATTTGGCCCGCGGGCCAGAGTTTGACACCCCTGCTCTATGATATGGCTGGCTATGTTTAAGGCCAGGCTACCTTGTGATCCATCTACTACATGTAGTGTTTCCAGTCAGATCCATTGCTCACTCAGGTATGGTTTCATACACCAAGATGACAACGGACAAATTCCAAACTGGAGGCTTCCCAATGGTCCACAAACCAACTGATGGCATCACAGTTGCTCAGACCATCATTTGTAAACAGTCTAAAGATAAAGCTGCATACTGAAGCCCTACATTGCCCAAGCACTGATACTCACTTAAAGCTTGGGTAGGCTGGATTGTTTGGGCATCATTGGGCAAAAATTTCATACTAAACCTTTTTGTAATTCAAGTAATGCACGAGGAAATTAGACTTCTGCACTTGTTTCTCGCTTCATTTTCAGGATGGGAGAGAGGAGACTGTAGCCAAGATTTATCCGAATCAGATGAGAATATAATAAGTGACAAAGTGAGATGAAGACGTGGTGACATAATGGGTTAGATGGAGGACTTCTACTTGGGAGGGTGGGTTGAATCCTTGGAAACATATGAATGTTGACTTTTAGTTTGCCAGAGAGGGGAGAGCTGTGTATACATGTTTAAAAATGTCAACCTACTGCAGCTTTAACAGGTAAACAATAGCTAGTTAGCAGCATTTATTTTTCACTGACAACTGAGGAAATAATGCTGTCTTTTAGTGACAGTCAGATCTATGCCAGAAAACTAAAATGAAATCGTTTTACGTTGCACCTCACCGTCGCATTGCATTGTTACAAATCTACCTATGCATGTAGATAAGTGCCAAATCCTCTACGGGGTTGGATGCACACCCCAGTTCCCAAAGTGTTTAGGGGGAGTTCCAGCTATTCCTCAAGCACAAGTCTCACAGCAAGTCAAAATTATCTGCATAGCGAGATACCACTGGAGGCAAGTGAGGAAAGAAAAAAAAAAAATTGTAATTTGGGCTAACCTTTAAAGATTATACAACACAGACTTTAATTTTGCAAAAAGCCACCCTAAAGACAAGATTAGGCTCACAATTAAAGCGTCCACGTTATCGTAAAAAGTATCTAAATGAGAACAGTTTTAGCATGAAAGCAGGCGGCGAGAAGAACTGAGGAGCTAAGAATCAAAGCAAAATCTTCGCAGCCTCAGAACTAAATGGAAAGTTCCACACATCCGGAGCTTGATGAAAAAAAAACAGAACACAGGCTTGACATCACACACATGTATACATGCACACTACGATCACCGAACTCCCATCACAGAGGAGCTTTCAGAGTCTCGTCCATCCCGAGAGGCCGCTGTTGGTCGGTGGCTGATGTCTCAGCTCCATACATTTTTAATGAGGCCTCTCGCTTTCTCCACAATAGGCACTATACCAACCAGACTGCAGTGCGTCAACACATCCTAGTGCAACCCGCAGACAGCCGTGTGCACACAACACTCATCTACATGTGCAAGACAGCCATCGCTTTGTGATAATCTTTGTTTTCTCCCCCTTCTTCTTCTTCTTTTTCTTCTTCTCACACTCAATCATTCCTTCACACGTTCTGCTGAGAGGTACAGAGGGGTAAGGGAAGTGTTAAATGAAAGTTAGCGTGATGCGTGCGCGTCACGTCTGCGCGAGAATACTTTCTTAGCAGGATGTGTCGTATTGATTAGTTC